CAGGAGGGGGATATCGCATCCCATCCCACCTCACTGCTGGGCAGCTATCAGAGCTGTCCCCTCTGGCAAGCTGGGCTGGGCTCTCTGCCTCCTCACAAACACTTCAGACTGGTCTGTACCACAGGGTGAACTGGGAGCACTCAGCGAGGCCATAGTACGCAGGGTGTGGTGGTTTGGCATGAAACATTGCAGCCCATCTCCTCATGCCGAGACATCCCACCACCCATCAGCAGAGCTAAGTTACCTTCTTGCCTCCAAACAGCTTGTTTGCTGCCTTCCTTTCCTTCAGGCCCTATATAGGTAGTGTTTTTTAAGGCAGTGTGTTTCCTTAATTTCATTGACCAGGTTCCCCTCCTTTCATAGAGAGCAGAAGAGAAGAGCAAAAAAAGGCTCTACCTGCCAGCAGGGCTGTTCTCAGCCAGGCACACTGATGGGATCAACAGCAGAGATGGAGGGTCCATAGATCTCCTCTTTGCTCCTCATAGTGCAACACCACCCCTGGTCTGCAGAGCTGGTATGTTTGGTGAATAGGCTGGATGCCCGTAAGGGAGACAGGCACTATTTGAAGGCAGGTGCACTCATCCCAAACCACACACCTGGTTTGTATCAGAGCTGCCCCCAGAGCTAGGTGAGGACCTATGAGGGCTCTGTCCCCGCAGGGAAATGCAGTCCTGTGGGCTTACAGCCCCTCCACAAAGTCAAGCCCCAGCAGCCTCATCATTCCACAAGTAAAGTCTCTCATTTCCTATGCACATTTGCTCTGCCTCAGCCTTTTTCCCCTGTCAGACATCAGGTGTTTCCATCAGACCATCCCCAGGTGCCCTTTGCAGGGCGGGCAAATCTCAGCTCCTTCTCTGACAACTCAATACGGGCTCCCACCGCTCTCAAACCAGAGCTCATCTTTCTGGAAATCCCTGTCGGTGCCCTTCCTGCTCAACAAACTCCTCTGCGCTTGCAGTGTCTGGCTGCTGCCTCCGCTCCTCGGCCGGCTGGGCCCTGCAGCCTGCTCCTGGCAGAGGGGCTGAGCCTGCCCAAAGGTCTGCCCCGCTCTCCGATGCCAGGGCGTGTGTCAGATGGGGTGACCCAAAGCACCAGGGCTGTTCTGGATGCTGAAGTGGCTTGTTCTCTGACCAGCTGTATGCCATGATGCCTAACTTCTGCCCCAGGTACAAGCACACCCCTTTCAGCGTTGTCTTTCACTGCAAAGGGAGAGCAGCACCCAAGCCCTGTCTTCTCGATGCCTGGGTGGGGAGGAAGGTGCAGACCTCTCTGTGCCACTTTGGAGCTCCCACCTCTCTCTGGCTATGGCCTGATGTCCAGTCCCCTCTCAGCTTTGGCTGAATTCACCCTCCTTGAACATCAGTGACCGGACTCATACACAGTATTCCTGTTTAGTTTTATTCTTGTTCATATCTTTACAGAAAATGGCACATAAATCACAGATGCTGGATGACTAGAAGTTGTTACAGTTCCATATCTCAAACACCTCAAATACTGAATTCTTTTCTCACTGTATATACATTATTTACACACCATGGGCTATCATCTAACACGTCAAACGACCAGGGGACAAAGACAAACAGGGGCTGGATCAAGGGGCTTAACCTTTGACGGAAGAAAAACAGTAGCTCTGGGGAGAGGGTGCTCACAGCTGAAAGCAGGACAGAAAGGGTCACGTGGAAATCACTGTCCTACGGCTTTCAGGGGAAAGGCTGAGACAACTGAGTCTGTTCAGCCTGGAGAAGACTGAGAGGAGATCTGATCAATACTTAGAAATTCCTTAAAGGTGGATGTCAGGAGGATGGGGCCAGACTCTTTTCAGTGGTGCCCAGCAACACGTTAAGGGGCAACGGGCACAAACTGAAACCCAGAAATTTTCATGTGAATACGAGGAAGAACTTCTATACTTTGAGGGTGCCAGAGCACTGGCACAGGCTGCCCAGAGGCTGTGGAGTCTCCTTCTCTGGAGATGTTCAGAACCCGCCTGGACATGATCCTGTGCAACTTGCTGTAGGTGAACCTGCTTTGGCAGGGGAGCTGGACTGGGTGATCTCCAGAGGTCCCTTCCAACCCTCACCATTCTCTGATTCTGTGAATAGTGCCTTACCGGGATGGGAAGGTGATGGTACCACGGAGTGGATTTGACTGCGTGGGTCTGTGTGTGCTTCTGTGGGGACAGCTGGGAGACATATGTACACATTACAGGGTATATCGGGGTGGATGTGCATGGCTGTCATTCCCTTTGACACTCAGAGGGCAAGATGGAGAAATTTAATTCAATAAATACATTGGGTGTATGTTGTTGTCTCACCTGAAATAATGTATTCAGAATAAATTCACCGTTCAGCCCCTCTGCAGGGGTGCAGGGCTTTGGTGTTTGGGGCAGAGTCAGACCCGGCTGCAGTGGCTAGCCCTGCAGGAGCCAGCAACACAGGATGGGGTCACCTTGAGGTGCCAGGTGGGACCAGGGTGTCGTGCCCACAGACTAAACCTGCCTCTCCCTGCCAAATGGAGGCAAAACCCAACCACTCTAAAGCTGCAGCCCCTTCCCAGCAGAACCCAGTGCCGGGCAGGGAGAGATGGGTGGAAGGTGCAAACCACCCTGGATGGAGAGTCACCATTTCATGCAAACACTGCCATAGGCTTGTCCAGCTGCAGCCTGGGGCAGAGGCAGAGGTGATGGCTGGGAGAAGGTCGGTGGGTCTGCCTGGGGCACGGTGGGACAAGACACCAGGGGAAGGGGCCTGGGCAGCACTGGGGAGAGATGTGCACCAAGGAGGAGCATGATGACAGGGGACAAGCTCGCTCCAAGATGGTGGATGGGGTCTGGGGCTGGAGCAGGAGAAGAGAGCTCCGGAGCTGGTCATGAGGCTGGAGGGACCCAGAGCCTCAGTGTCCTCTTGGGTGGCAATGATGATGGGACACTTCCCGATCCCCAAAAGGAAGTGTAGGGGGTGAAGGCCCAGCAGGGCAGAGGAGCAAGGGGCAGGGGTATGCTCGAGGGGAGCAGGTGGGGACACCCTTGCCAGGCAGCCCCAAATGCAGAGACAGGGGACCTGCTCACTGGGCAGGAGTGG